CACACGGGTGAGCCCATCCCACACACACCCCACACCCCACACGGGTGAGCCCATCCTACATACACCCCACACCCCACACGGGTGAGTCCATCCCACATACACCCCACACGGGTGACCCATCCTACATACACCCCACACCCCACACGGGTGAGCCCCTCCCACACACACCCCACACCCCACACAGGTGAGCCCCTCCTACATACACCCCACACGGGTGAGCCCATCCTACATACACCCCACACGGGTGAGCCCATCCTACATACACCCCACACGGGTGAGCCCCTCCCACACACACCCCACACAGGTGAGCCCCTCCCACATACACCCCACACGGGTGAGCCCATCCTACATACACCCCACACGGGTGAGCCCATCCTACACACACCCCACACGGGTGAGCCCATCCCACACACACCCCACACGGGTGAGCCCATCCTACACACACCCCACACGGGTGACCCATCCCACACACACCCCACACGGGTGAGCCCCTCCTACATACACCCCACACCCCACACGGGTGAGCCCCTCCTACACACACCCCACACGGGTGACCCATCCCACACACCCCACACGGGTGACCCATCCCACACACCCCACACGGGTGAGCCCCTCCCACACACACCCACACGGGTGAGCTCCTGCCTAGCAAGCCGACTGTGAACCTGGTAGCTTGCTAGCGTAGTGAAGCTTCTCTACCTCTGTGAACCTGGTAGCTTGCTAGCGTAGTGAAGCTTCTCTACCTCTGTGAACCTGGTAGCTTGCTAGCGTAGTGAAGCTTCTCTACCTCTGTGGTTCCTGGCTTTCTACCTTCCTGACAGGAACTGAGAAGTAGTTGACAGTTGAGGTTTCAGTACCTATTGATGATTTGCACTCAGAGCTGTAGTTTGAATATGAAAACTTGTTCAGTTCTCCAACACTAACCACTCTTCACACATTTACTAGCTTTTTCATAGAGATTTCCTTTCCGTTGAGAAAGAACTATAATTTATTCAAACGATAAAATTCCAAGTACTTTTTACTCATTTCTTAATAACTTGTGCGATTATCAGCATTGTGTGTGCTGAGCTTACAAATTTTAATTGTTACGGTCATATTGTGGAATATCACACAGCCATTAAAAACGATGGCCTTCCAAGGGGGCACAGGGAGGGAGGGAGCGTGAGCAAACACAGTCATGGTTTCCATATGCACTATGTGGAAAACAAACTATGTAACTAGTGGGCAGGGATGGGAGGGGCGTCTTGGAGAAAGGGAAGGAAGGGTGGCGTTGTCCAAACATAGATGTGCACATTACCTGAATTGTGAGGTAACCACAGCTTAATAATAACTATAAAATGGTATTTCTAAAATAGCATGAAATGTGAGAGATGCATTGGTAAGTTGGAAAGGTCAGGTGCCTATAATCATAGCTACTCACGAGGATTATAGTTTGAAACCTGCCAGGAAAGAAAAGTTTGTTACACCAGATGTCCCTCAGTAGATGAATGGATCAAGAAAATGTGATACACACACACACACACACACACACACACACACACACACACAATGGAATTCTATGCCTCCATCAGAAAGAATGACATTGCCCCTTTGTTAGGAAATGGAACAACTTGGAAAAAATTATATTAAGTGAAGTAAGCCAGGGGCAAAGAAACATAGTCCCATGGTTTCCCTTATTTGCAATTACTAGTATATGTCTGGGACAAATAGAAAAGGTCAAAATCTATGTACATATAACCAGATAAGATGATGTTAAGTGAAATAAACTCCAAGATAAGGACACAAGTGGTTTTTTTCTTTCTTGCTATTGTTCCTAATGTATTTATCATGTACCATGTGATTTTTTTTTTGTTGCTTTGTATGGTCTTCCCCAACAGTATAACCCGTTTTCACTGTATTTGATGTCAGTGCTCTGCATCTTGTATATACACTTCTCTAGCTTGGGGAGAGGAAGGAAAAAAACAAAATGCTTAAATAGAGATACAGGTTGACCCATTGTAACAATGAGATGTACAAGACACTATGTAAAAAAAATGAACTTTACAATTTAGACCAGGTTGAGGGGGGGGGGTGTTAGTCATGGAGGTAGGAGGGAAGAAAGGGTAGGGGAAAAATAAAGGAGGTTACAATGCTTTGTAGGAAATGTATTCATGACCTTGCTCATGTAACTGTAACCCCTCTGTACAGCATTTTTACGATACAAAACATATTTAAGAAAATTTTGAAGAGGATTGAAATAAAACACTTTCAAATATTTAAGCATTTTGTTTTTTTCCCTTCCCCTCCCCAAATTAGAAAAGTGTATATACAAGATGCAGGGCCCCAGAATCAAATACAATGAAAGCAGGGGTTATACCATGGGGGAGGAACATACAAAGAAACAAAGAAATCACATGAATACGTTAAAAACAATAGCAAGAAAGAAAAATCCGCTTATGTCCCTGTCTTGGGGTTCATTTCACTTATCCATTGTAACAATGAGATGTGCAAGACACTATGTTGAAAATGAACTTTACAACTTGGGGGGGGCGGTGAGCGAGGAGGGAGGAGGGAGAAGGTGGGAGGGAAGGGATGGTAGGGGAAAAACAAAGGAGGAGGCAGCCATGCTCAACAGGAAACGTGCTCATCACCTCACTCATGTCACTGTAACCCCTCCATACACTATTTTATAATTTAAAAAAGTATTAAAAAAGAAAAAGAAAAGTTTGTGAGAATCTTCTCTCCAAGATAAATTACAAGCAGCAGGACTGGAGTTACAGCACCAAAGTGGCAGCCAGTCTCAAGTGCCAGCCTAGCACGTACAAGACCTGGAGTTCACACTCCAGTATCACAAAAAGCGGAGGGATTCAAGTAATATAGAAGTACATAATACTCTACTTCCGTAAATCAGTTACTTTCCATGTGTATGAGCGCATGCCAGAGAGAACCCAGTGAACTCAGAACTCCTGGGTCACCTGAGGCCTTGCCCGAGGTCCTGAGGGGGACCTTCCAGACCAGATGCCGGAGCCCCGCTGCCTACGGCTCTGACATCACATCAGATGTCCGGGCCCCGCTGCCCACAGCTCTGACATCACATCAGATGCCTGAGCCCCGCTGCCCACGGCTCTGACATCACATCAGATGCCTGAGCCCCGCTGCCCACGGCTCTGACATCACATCAGATGCCCGAGCCCCGCTGCCCACGGCTCTGACATCACATCTGGAGGCTTCCTGGAGGTAGAGGTGCCGGGGCCCCCCAGCAAGCCTGTCCTCACTCTTGGGCCTTCTTCCTGCTCTGAGACTCCAGCAGAGCCACACCGCAGCACCCCAGAGCTCTGCCCCGTCTACCTCTGCGTCCTGCCAGATGGCCACTCTCTTCTCCACCACAAATTCTGTGCAAGGAATGGCCAAGGTGCAGGAAGTGCTTTGTCTGGTTTCTTCTGTGGCAAGAAAGAAGTCACTCTATAATAAAAGAACTTGGACCCAATGGCATGTCTTCACTGAGGGCCAGCTGAGCCAAGGAGGTTCACAGCTGCTCCAAGTGACAGTCCTGCTCCAGTCCCTCTCTTCTGTCTGTCTTCTCACCCTGAGGTGTCCCTACACGCTCAAACCCCACACACAACAGAAAGCACAGGCGCTCAGGAGGAATGAGAGGGTAACGTGTACAAAGCCCCATCTGCCTGCTCTGTGGGGACGAGTCTGAGTTTTCTCTAGGATGCACCGGCTAGCTGCTCTGCTTTACCCACCTGCCCTTGAGGACGAAACGATACGCCCGGTGGTGGGCACCGAGGAGGGGCTCTGGCAGCTGGTGCTGGGCTGGAGGGTGGGGACTGCAAAGCGCAGCCCCTTGGGCCTCGCGGTGAGCCAGCATCTGCCTGCCCGGCTGGCCGCGAGCTCTGTGTGCAGGAAGGGAGCTTTCTCCTCCGCCCCTGTTGGTTGCTGTGGGGTGGCGAGAGACCAGCCAGGCTCTGGCTGTCCTGAGCACTGGGTTAGCACTGCCCTGCCTTCCTGCCCCGCATCATTTCTGCAAGGAGCTTCATTCTGTGACCTTCCACATAGGCCTTTTGAGTGCATTGAGGCTGGGCTGCAGAGCTGCCCACGTCCGGGGGCCACCCCGCCCAGCACTTCGGCTCTCACCTGGTCTCCCCGGGCCCCTCACACCGATGAGCCAGCCTTCCTGTCAGCACCTTCTAGCAGGGCAGTGTTGGCCTGCCCCAGCCCCGCCCCAGCCCCGCCCCAGCCCCGCCCCAGCCCCGCCCCAGCCCCGCCCCAGCCCCGCCCCAGCCCCGCCCCAGCCCCGCCCCAGCCCCGCCCCAGCCCCGCCCCAGCCCTGCCCCAGCCCACGGGAGACTCAGGTGTCTGCGGGGTGGGTGCGGGTGCAGGCGCGGGAGGGGCAAGGCAGGGCTGGGAGAAGCGAGGAGCCGACAGAAACTCGCAAGCGTGAGGAGCCGGCCTGCTGGGCTTGCTTGTTCGAGTCTTGCTGCTGCGTGTCTCGGTGTCAGTTCGAGTCTTGCTGCTGTGTGTCTCGGTGTTAGAGTCTTACTGCTGTGTGTCTCGGTGTCAGTTAGAGTCTTGCTGCTGTGTGTCAACAAGGTGACTATAGTTTTAAAATGTGATTTCCAAAGCACCAGAATGGGTTTTACATGTTCTCAACATTTACAAATGGTATTTGGGGGTGGGTGGGTGTGCTGATTAGCTTACTTTGATCATTCTACAATGTATACATGTGTCAAAAGGCCTCGTTTACCCCATAAATACATACAATTATTTGTCAGCTGGAAATGAAACTTGCAAAAGCACCCAGTCCATACCAAGTTGTTTGCAGGTCTTATTTCTCCAAAGCTGGTTAAATGATTGCACATTCTCAATAATACCATGCAAGTGGTTCATGGAAAATTGCTCTCTGGTGTGGTTATTTAGCCAATGGATTTCCTCTTGTGAAGCTTCCAGGCAAATCACAGCCTCATGGAAGGCTGTGCCCCAGCCCATGGCCTGTTCCTCACCCCTGCCTCTCCTTCCAGCCTGCAGGGGCGTCTGGGACAACATCACGTGCTGGCGCCCTGCGGATGTGGGAGAGACGGTCACCGTGCCCTGCCCCAAAGTGTTCAGCAACTTCTACAGCAAGCCAGGTACCGTGGGTGCACCCGGTGGGCCTGCCTGGAGCAGGCTTTCCTCTTTGGGCAGCGAGGGGCTGGGTCTCCCTCTTTCTAGCCTCTTCCTGCTTTGAGTGGAACCATGAAATAGTTGGAACAGATTGGGGTAGGTGCTTACTTTAGGGAGCAAAAGAATCCTGTCCCTTGGTGGGCAGGGCAGGTGTGAGGGAAGAGACTAAGCAAGGATCTTTCATGAACAGAGACAAATAAACAGGAGCCAGAGCACCAGCAATGTCATCTGGGGCGACAGAGACAAGGAAAAGATGAAGAAGGCTCTGCTGGTCCCCGAGGTTCTGAGCGAAGGTGGGGAGTGTGGGCCACTGGACCCCCTCTGCTCTGCCCCCAGACCCAAGTCCCTGTTGGCAGCTTCTCTGTCTCTGCAGAGAAGAGACAGGGCCAGGCCCCTTCCCTGCGCAGGGCTTGCTCTACGCAGCTCTGCAGGCCTGGCTCGTGGCTCACAATTCCTCACGGGGAGAAATCTCTCTGGAAAGGCAGAGGATAGAAGACATCCGGAAACAGGGAATAATGGTGCTTGGCAGAAATGTGCAGAAATCATTTTACCAGGGCGGTGATGGAGAAAACCTTGAGAACTAATGACATTGCACTTTAAAACAACAGTGGAGGAAATGGAGATCGGGGAAGGAATGGTCTCTTCTCAGGAGCTGAACCCTGTTGAGCACGGGACATCTCAATTCAGAGACTCTGAACCTCACAAACCGCTGTCCAGTCAGTGACACTGGCAGGAGCTCAGGCCAGGACTGTCCTCTGGACATTCCAAACACACTGGCCCAGGCCCAGGAGCAGACGCCTGCACACACCCAGCTCAGGTGTGGCGTGGGTGAATGACCTCGGGAGGGGCAGTGGAGCAGAGCGGAGCCCTGGGTCCCCGATCGGCAGACTTGCTCTGGGCCTAGGCTTCGTGCACTGTGTCACCAGCCCAGGGCGTCAGGGAGGAGCCTGCTCTCAGGCAGGGCTGAGTTCTCAGTGCCCCTGAGCAGGGGGCACCACAGTTAGGACACACGGAGCTTTTGAGTCAGAAAACCTGTCTTCCTCGCCGTCGTTTTCCAATCGCTGGGGAGCCGCGCTCCCACCCGTGCGGGGCCAGCGATGCGGGCTGTGACTGCATCACAGGCCCCCAGGGCCCCGGGCCCGCCGCTCCTCAGGAGCGCAGGAGAGGCACGGGAGCCTGAGCCTTAGTTCTGCCGTGGAGGGCAGCTTCGGGCAGAGTTTGGGCTTGAAGGGCTCGGGTAACTGCTGTCCCTGTTTCACTCTGTACTCTCCAAACTCTGCCCCACGTGGTGTTGTCACATTTCTGCCGGGAAATAGAGGGAATGCTACATTCTAGACTGACTACACAAATTTTAGCTTATTGAAGAGCAAATAATACAGTTCAGAATAAAGAGCAAAAGAAGTTCTTAACTGCCTTTCTTTCTTGCAATTTAAACCTTCCTCCCACAATGACTTTCCTCTCTCTGGCTGTCAGCCGCGTCAGTCCTGGTGCTGCCTCTCGAGGGGCAGGCAGAGGGGAGGGCGAGCAAGCCCCCGCATCCAGGACAGAGCAGGCAGGGACCTGGCGTTAGTCACTGGGTGGTGACAGAGCGTCAGAATCTACTAAGGACTTCCATCTACGCTGAGATAAGAGTACGTAAAGTTGAAGCAACTACAAGTGTAGTTTCTGTCTTCATTGCTTTCTGACATGGTGGTCTAGTCCCTGCAAGTCCACGATGTGGGTTGAAGGAGGGTGACCGGGAAGGGCTTCTGAGAGCAGTAGCATTAAGACGACAAAGTCTCCAGACAGACGTAGCATTGTCTCTACTGAGACCCTGCACATACAACATCTGAGCTTTACTTTCCAGGAAACATAAGCAAAAACTGCACGAGTGACGGGTGGTCAGACACGTTCCCAGATTTCATGGACGCATGCGGCTTCAACGACCCAGACGATGACAATAAGGTAGGACCCCAGGCGAAGCCAGACCCCCGCCCACAGCGGGGCCTTTGCTCGGCCAGGCCTCTGCTCTGCTCTGTTACTCATGTTCGGGACTCACTGATTCTCAGTAACTTCAGAGAAATCACAGAGAAGCAAACCGTCTTTGCTGATGGTAGACACCTGTACACGGGCCACACTGCCTCCAGGCAGCTCACCCTTCCCAGACTTACAGTTATTGACTTCCCACTCGCACAGATCAAATTCTGCCATGGGTGTTACACATACAATCATTATTGACTGCAAAACTAGTTTAATCCAAGGAAAACCCTAGCCTCCACAAAGCCATAGCTGGCTGCAGATGGCGGAATCAGAAGGCAACAGGTAGGACTTTGAGTGCAGGTCCTTGCTCAGGCTGCTGCCCAGCTCTGCACAGCTCCTCCCACGCCCGAATGTCTCCAATCTACGCTCAAGGACCCCCAGCGGCCCAGTGACTGGAAGACACAAAGGCGCACAGAACTCACCCCGCCTCTGCTCCCGTTCGAGGTGCGGGCGGCTCTGGCCTTGCTGGGACCCGCACAGAGGCCGCTCTGGCTCGTGAAGACCGTGCCTGCCTAGTTCTTAAGAAAAGAGCGCTCTGCTAAATTTAGCCCCGGGCTGTTTGGCATTTCAGCCCTCCGTGTGTCAAGTGGACGCATTTCTTCCATATTATGCCATATTCCCAAAATATTTACACACTCTCCTGCAGCATCTTTCCACTGTAGCCACTCTTCCTACAGCTTGGCTTCCCTTGCCAACCCATGCCAGACTGTTCGCAGTGTGTTTGCTTGGTCCCCAGCCATGTGTGGTGTGACCTGTATGTCTGGTACCCATTGGTGAGCAGTGTGTGTGGTGTGTGTATCTGGTCTCCATTAGTGAGCAGTGTGAGCAATGTGTGTATCTGGTCTCCATTGGTGAGCAGTGTGAGTGTTGTGTTGTGTCTGGTCTCTATTGGTGAGCAGTGTGAGTGTTGTGTGTGTCTGGTCTCCATTGGTGAGCAGTGTGAGTGTTGTGTGTATCTGGTCTCCATTGGTGAGCAGTGTGAGTGGTGTGTGTCTGGTCTCCATTGGTGAGCAGTGTGAGTGGTGTTCATGTCTGATCTCCATTGGTGAGCAGTGTGAGTGTTGTGTGTGTCTGGTCTCCATTGGTGAGCAGTGTGAGTGGTGTGTGTCTGGTCTCCATTGGTGAGCAGTGTGAGTGTTGTGTGTATCTGGTCTCCATTGGTGAACAGTGTGAGCGGTGTTCGTGTCTGGTCTCCATTGGTGAGCAGTGTGAGTGGTGTGTGTCTGGTCTCCATTGGTGAGCAGTGTGAGCGGTGTGTGTGTCTGGTCTCCATTGGTGAGCAGTGTGAGCGGTGTGTGTGTCTGGTCTCCGTTGATGAACAGTGTGAGTGTTGTGTGTATCTGGTCTCCAATGGTGAGCAGTCTGAGCGGTGTTCGTGTCTGGTCTCCATTGGTGAGCGGTGTGTGTGCCTGGTCTCCCCTCCTGAACGGTGGGGTGCTGCGTGCCTGTCTGTCCCCTGCCCGTGGTCACAGCCTGCTGGACATGCCAGGTCTGGTGTCCCAGTAGGACAAGCACCCCAGGGGTCAGACACCATGGGAACTCCGCTGTCCACTGTGTGTGTGGCACTGGCAGTGTCCTCTGGGCCGAGTCCGGGCAGCGTCTCTGTATCCCCTGCGGTTCCTGGCATCCAGGACCGTGTGTGGTGACCTGACGCCAGCCTTTGGTGTTGAGGAAAGGGGTGCTTGGGTCAGGGAGAGCAAGGTCAGTGTGGAAGGACATCTTGACAGTGTGGACAGAATGGGCAGGTCCTCAAGATGGAGCTGCACCTGTGGCTGCTCTCCAAAGTCCTGAGGCTGAACTCGAGTTCACAGACAGAAAATGGCTTCCAGAAACCAGACACAATGACTAGCCATGCTTAAGCCCACTTGGCCTTAACTGTCTTCAAACTAATTCTCTGCAATAAAGCACTGGTCTCTTCAGGCCAGGGAGACCAGAGGCTGACGGGCCCTGCAGGCCTCCCCCATGGAGAACATGGGGGAAGTCGTCCAGAGGAGAGGAAAGGCTCTGAGGTTGGAACGGTACAGTCTAGAAAATGATGTGTCTGATGGTACCCGCCCCGGGGCCTTGGCCAGGGGAGCTTCCTGGAGCCCAAACCCAGGCTCACCGCCTGGCAGCCCTTGCTCCTTCTTGACATCAGCATGGAGACTGGCTCACCCACGCGTGCCCTGTGGGCCGGTGTGGCCATGCAGAGACCTTTCCGCCGAAATTGGCTCCACACACAGTAGCAGTCCTGTCCTCGCGTCCCTGCCCTTCTTGAGGTGTGTCTGCCACCCCAAGAGGCCAGGTCGCCAGAGAGGTGCATCCCAGGGGACCGTGTCCCGGGACAGACTGACCCCAGGGGAGCTGTGTCCCAGGAAGGGTGTGCTCTCAGTAGCGCTGAGTCTTCAGGAAGGACAGGGCAGAGGCCGTGTCTCTAGGACAGACCGTGTCTCAGGAGAGGCCACGATGTCCCCAAGGGAGGCCATGGCTGAGGAAGGACTTTGTCCTGAGCCAGAGGCCACGTCCATTAGAGGACACGGCCGCTCTATGTCCCAGGAGAGCTTCCCAGTAGAAGCCAGGACCCCAGGGAAGGACAGGCTCCTGGCAGCCGAGCCGGGACTTGCTGGGACACACACCGGGTGGCCTCTGGCCTGCACCCTATGCGCGTCCCCTGGGGCCGGGCCCACCTGGATCCAGTGTCCAGTCCCTTCCTCAGCTGGGGAGGAGAGAGACCAGAGGGTCTGAGACTGAAGGAGGTGCTTCTTCCTGGCCAGCGGAGGTGCTGCTGCTGTGATCTGTGCACAGCATGAACAAGGGACTGCAGATGGAAGAGATGGCAGCTTCCTTCCCTCAGTACCTCCCCTCCACGGCCTCCAAAGACAGGCAGACCTTGTCCCTGCGGTGAAGACTCCTCTTGCAGCAACAGGTGGAAACTCAAGTGTGGCCCCACTCCAGCCCTGGCTGCCATTGTACAGCTTCACTACTACCTCCTGGGAGAAGAGCTTGGGGCAGGGAGGAGCTTCAGGCAGGGAGGAGCCCGGGGCAGGGAGGAGCTTCAGGCAGGGAGGAGCCCGGGGCAGGGAGGAGCCCGGGGCAGGGAGGAGCTTCAGGGAGGAGCTTCAGGCAGGGAGGAGCCTGGGGCAGGGAGGAGCTTCAGGGAGGAGCCTGGGGCAGGGAGGAGCCTGGGGCAGGGAGGAGCTTCAGGGAGGAGCCCGGGGCAGGGAGGAGCCCGGGGCCGGGAGGAGCCCGGGACAGAGAGGAACTTCAGGCAGGGAGGAGCCCGGGGCAGGGAGGAGCCCGGGGCAGGGAGGAGCCCGGGGCAGGGAGGAGCTTCAGGCAGGGAGGAGCCTGGGGCAGGGAGGAGCCCGGGGCAGGGAGGAGCAAAGGGCAGGGTGGAGCTTCAGGCAGGGAGGAGCCCGGGGCAGGGAGGAGCCCGGGGCAGGGAGGAGCCCGGGGCAGGGAGGAGCTTCAGGGAGGAGCTTCAGGCAGGGAGGAGCCCGGGCAGGGAGGAGCTTCAGGGAGGAGCTTCAGGCAGGGAGGAGCTTCAGGGAGGAGCTTCAGGCAGGGAGGAGCCCGGGGCAGGGAGGAGCTTCAGGCAGGGAGGAGCTTCAGGCAGGGAGGAGCAAAGGGCAGGGAGGAGCCCGGGGCAGGGAGGAGCTTCAGGCAGGGAGGAGCTTCAGGGAGGAGCTTCAGGCAGGGAGGAGCCCGGGGCAGGGAGGAGCCCGGGGCAGGGAGGAGCCCGGGCAGGGAGGAGCTCCGGAGGTCGGGCTGGCAGCTGCCCCAGCGCCCCTCGCTGGGCCTGGGCATCAGCCCTCTCATTTGTGAAGGAGTGGTTGGTTCTTCACCGCAGACTCTAGACCTCCTCAGCCGCTGTGGGGAGACCTTCACAGGCTGCACCTTCAACCCAGAGGAGTCCCTTTGTGAAAAGTAGACGTCCGTGGTGCTCTGTAGTGCATGCAGAGCTCCCCGGCCCCGCAAGGCCTCCGCCGCCAGGACCAGCCAGCCTCAGAGCTGAACAAGCAGCCCGTGCTGCGGCAGGCCTGTGCTTGCTGCTCCTCGGTGGAGCAGCACAGACTTGTGTACTTGTACCAACACAATGTGACGATATAGCAGAGTACCCCCGGCATTTCCATGGTTAGGGCTTTTGGGTCATCTAGAGATGATTGGAAGTACATGGAAGAACGGCACCACTTCGTGCAATGCTGGGGCCAGAAGCCCCTCCCACCCTGGGGCTCTCGGAGCAGGCCCTGCGGGCTTCGGGGAGATCTGGGGATGCGTCCACATAGCCAACACCCAGGCCAGGCCGCCAGCTCCTTCCTGGCAGCCGCACAGGGACTGTTAGTGTGGAGGGGGGTCTCTGTGGCCACACAGCATGTTGGAAACCACCAGACCACAGGGATGGTTGTGGGCTTTTTTCTGAAAGGTATTTCTTACCCTTTTTGGTTTGGCTTGGGTTTTACGAGACAGCATCATGCTGTGTACGATGGCCTCAAACTCAGCACCTTCTGCTAGTCACCAGACGTTCACCACCCCCCCGACAATACAAATGGCCTTTAAGCACACGGAAAGATTCTTGGGCCTTTTTTGCCCCAATACCAAGGATAAAACCTAGGGCCTCTGCCTGCTACTAGGCAGACACCACCGAGCGACATCTGAAGGCTGTTTCCTCTTTAAAGAACACTTTGTCCAGAGTAAATTTTCCCTGAGGAAATTTCTGAGCACACTGTATGGAAGCGTATAATGTATGTTTGTGAAATGAAAGTGAACAGTTATTTGGACTGCAGGAAAAAAGCAAATTGTACATCCCATGACAGAGTCCCTCGTCGCCGGGAAGAGCAGGCTCCACGCGCTCCTCGGGAAGGGCAGGAAGGGCAGGCTCCACGCGCTCCTCGGGAAGGGCAGGAAGGGCAGGCTCCACGCGCTCCTCGGGAAGGGCAGGCTCCACGCGCTCCTCGGGAAGGGCAGGCTCCACGCGCTCCTCGGGAAGGGCAGGAAGGGCAGGCTCCACGCGCTCCCCCGGAAGGAAGGGCAGGAAGAGCAGGCTCCACGCGCTCCTCGGGAAGGGCAGGAAGGGCAGGCTCCACGCGCTCCTCGGGAAGGGCAGGAAGGGCAGGCTCCATGGGCGTCGCGGCCTAGCCCTGCCGTGCTAATCAGACCCCAAGCTCCCACTGCCTCGGCACCCCGGAAGATAGCCTGTGAGGTTCACGCACATGCGGTCAGCGCAAGGCAGGCAGGGCCAGCACTGGCCTCACACACATGCGGTCAGCACAAGGCAGGCAGGGCCAGCACTGGCCTCACACACA